GTTGACATGAACAGTTTGTTGCTACTTGTGTCTTTGCAGTGCAGAATCATATTTAACTTCTCCGGCAGAAAAAGGAACCTGTGCCACAGCCCGGGCTCGTAAAGAAGCAGCTGTTTGGAGCCGCACACCTGGAAACTATTGGTGCTAAAAATCAGAAACTGGAGCTTTACTGGGAATCACTTTATATCCAAAAACACATCGGTGAGTGGTCAGCAATCATGCAGCATGCAGCAGGAAGTGACACATGCGCATGCGTGGTTCGCTGAATCATGAAAAGCTTCTGTGTTATTTAAAGCCTTGAAGTCTCAGTCAGGCCGACGCGCTCCGTCCCAGCTCCCACTCAGATCCTCCCCCACTGCCAGGCCGACGTCCTCACAGAGCATTAGGATGCAGCTTTTTGCTGTTTATGCCCCAAAACTTTGGAGCAGGGCAAACTTTACAGACGTCGCTCTTTAATCTGCCATTAAACTCTTATTTAATAATGAATCAGTAAATGACGTCCGGCTTTAGTCCGCTCTATAATGGAGCACACAGAGCTGATGCACGTCTTCTTTCCAAATGTGTTTCCTTTCCTCTCTGTCCTTGATATCATTTGTATGTTCACTTTAAACCTTCACTGGTGACACGCTGTGCAAATCAAATGAACCAGGCTTGTTGTGAAACTACAATAAGTTGTAGGAGAGGAACAGTCGCAAAGAGGGAGGAAATATGAAGGAACAGAGCAGACTGATGATAAAATAATGACGGAAAGGGCAGAATGAAGTGAGCGAGTTTAGAAAAGGAAAAAGAAAGAAGGCAGCGGTCAGGAGGAGGCGCAGAGAGGAGAGTAAACAGTGTGAGGAGGCTGGAATGCGTTCAGAGGGAGAAGGCACGCCGGGGGCCGGCACACAAACCGACGAGAGCAAACAGCAGCGTTATTAGCACGGAGCTGCCAGCTGAGCCGTTATCTCACAGAGGAAGAAGACGAGCGAGCAGGCGGAGGTGCGCTGGAGCAGACGGAGCTTGGCTCCTCTGGTTCGGCCTGACGGGCGGCGGGTGGAGCGACAAATGAGAGGATGTTGACATTCCACACAGGAAGACGGACAAACAAAAGGTCCGCAGGATGGAGCGAGGCCACACTGGAGAGAAACAACCAGGCCAGATTCCACATGAAGCTCTGCACTGTTTACCCCCCAAACACACACACGCACACACACACACACACACACACACACACACACACACACACGCACACACACACACACACACACACACACACACAAACACACACACACGCACACACACAGACACACACACACACACACACACACACACACACACACACAAACACACACGCACGCACACACACAGACAGACACACACACACAGACACACACACAAACACACACAAACACACACGCACACACACAGACAGACAGACACACACACACAAACACACACACAAACACACACGCCATTAAAATGCTCCAAAAGGCTCCAACAGCACAAACACGGCCCAGAGGTCCAGTTCAGGGGAAGCTAGCAGTAGGGCTGGGCCATATAATAATAATAATAATAATAATAATAATAATGGATTGCATTTATATAGCGCTTTTCGGGACCCCTCAAAGCGCTTTACAATGCCACTATTCATTCACTCTCACATTCACACACTGGTGGAGGCAGCTACAGGTGTAGCCACAGCTGCCCTGGGGCAGACTGACACAGTATGATGTTGGGCAACAATAAGAAAATGAAATATGGCGATAGAATATGGGTAAAACGCGCATGCGCAGTGCCTTTGTTTTCATACGCGCATGGCGAAAAAAGCATGACGGCGACGGAGAACGAGAAGAACGAAAGTGGATCGTTGAATGAAACGGATGAACCAGAACTGGTTTGTAAAAAAACTTCACTGGTGTGAAACTGGTTTAGCTTTCGTCCGTCAGATACACAACAAAGCACTATTTTTTGGTAGCGCATGCTAACGGGCCGTCGTTGTTACCGTGTTGTTTGGAAAATAAGTTGCTCCTAAAATCCTTTGATTTTCTGAAAAGTCGCCAGAGCCCCTTATAATTCTTATGTATGAACTCTGGTTGTGTTTACTGACCTGGAAACGATTTTATGTGCACGGCGCTCGAAATTCTGTCAAATGTTTCAGTATGACTTTGCTGAGCTACGAAGCCGCACCGCTTAATGGATTGTCGGAGCATTACGGCTATCGTAGGCGGAGCCTCGCGGAGTGATACGTGCTGTGCTTCAACATGTTACCGTGTTGTGTGTGTATAACCTCTTTTTAAGTTTTGTGGATATTATACATGGTTATGCTGAGGATATGTCGGCCACTTTCCACTGGAAATGCCTTTTGGTTAAACTGTCAGCAAAGAATTTGCATTTGCACTGTTACATTTTATAGAACTTTAATGCACATAAAACAGCTGCTTGTTTAAGTGAAAATACAGTGATGTTTTTTTTTGCACTAATAAAGTTGTGGAGTTGTAAAGTATTTTGTCTCGCGTCAGTTATATCGTCAGTTATATCGTTATCGCAAATTTTCAAATATATATCGTGATAAATATTTTTGGCCATATTGCCCTGCCCTAGCTAGCAGACAGCTAGCAGCTGCAGCTGTGTCACCATCCACCTGTCAGTCAGAGAGGCCACGCCCCTAATAATGCAAACTTTAAAGAGGTGATTTGCTGTATATGGTGTATCAGGCTGTAAACATGTTTACTTCTGCTGTAAAGTTTTAACGTGGGAATCTATGGGGACTGACTCACTGCTGCCTCTGCTGGGCATCAGAGGAACTGCAGGTATCTGGGCCTTCCAGCCCAGGGTGTTTTAAAAACATTATTTGATCTCTGAAAAGAACTATTTTGTGTCAGTCGGACTTTTTCTTCTCCTGAGGAAACACGCAGATGTTTCTAACAACTGTAATCATGGTTCTATTACAGCTAAGCGTCCCCGTAAGGCACGACAGAGAGCCAGCCATCAAGAGCTAACACGCACACACACACACACACACACACTGACAGAGCAATCTGAGGGGTGATTTCTGTGTGTGGTTGTCATGGAAACAAAAAGGCAAAAGGGAAGAACAAGGGCCATGTGCTGCTGGTTCAGACACTGTGTCTGACCTCTGAGACAGTGTTTACGGGAGAGACAGACGGATGGATCAGAGTCTATGTCCGGAGCCGGAGACAAGCCGAAGCGCCTGAAAGGGAGGATGGAAAGTCGGAGACGCAGGAGTACTTCTGAGGCGACACCTGAGGTGGAAACACGGAGGGTGGAAGCAGCCGAACAGATGGCGCCGTCTGCTGTGTGCAACCTCCAAACGCCTCCTGATGACACTCGGGGCGAGAATGGCAGGGACATCCCATGATGCTTCACACCCTCACATCTAATATTCTCTTTCAAATAACCTGCATCTCCATCTGTGATCCTCCTTCAGAGCAGAATCCAGCCAGATTAAGTGCTGCACACGTCATCAGACAGTACAAACTAATAACAATAATCCCCTCCTGAGGCATCTGAGTGTGTTGGCTTCCTGTCTGGGTGAGGCTCATTTTTTCTAAAAAAGTCACCCCAGCAGTCCAACTCGGTCACACATAGTAACGCAGCCGACGCCAGCTTTTACACCTCCCACAGCTTTACGGCTTTGCACTGACTCATTACTTCCAAGAAGAACTGTGAACATCCAGAGAACCTGTTAACAGCTACAATCAGCTGTCATCACATCACAAGCACGAGCAGGGATCGGTCACCGGCGAGGTTCCGCTTCAATGACAGCCCTCAATACCTGAACGCCGTCACAGACAGACGAGGACAGCAACAGTACGCTGGTCTGAATAATTGATTTCTAAAGAGAGACCCAAAGATAAATAAAAGCTGCTCGAATGTTCAGTACAGCTCGTCTCAAAAGGGAGACCACCAATCATCCTGAGGATGGAGAGCTGAAGCCACAGGTGGACCAGGTGACACACAGATACACCTACACCTACTGAAACTTTGAGTTTTAATTCTTCACATAGACCCTGTAAACAAAAGTCCATCCTTCTGCCATCTTGGCTTGAACTGAACTAAGCAGTGAGCGAGTCTGGGTTTTACCAGAGGGCTGTAACATTGAACGTAACTGTAACGGTTTAATGCAAACAGACACTGAAGTTTGATTAATCACAGGTATAATTTTACAGGTTTCTGGCTCTCAGGTAAACACACGTGTTATGATTCAATAATACAGCTAGTATGATAAGCAATCGTTACATTTTAAGTTGCACAGTCTAACCCTTCCATCACTGCTTTAGCTCCTCCCACTTTAACACAACCACTAAACAGCAGGTGGGTGGAGCTTCTATCCACTCTCTGTGACATCACACAGATCCAGGAGTAGAAAAAAGTGTGACAGACAGAGTGTTTGGAGCAGCCTGAGCTTTGGGCTCAGGGATTTTTACGTTACTGTTTAACATGAAAATGAAGCAGCAGCAGACACATGACCGGAAATAACTCTGTGACATGAATGTGCAGGCATGTGTCTGACCTGAAGCTGATCCCAAACTACACCTGAACAGTCTTTTCATAAACATATTGAACCTCACAGGTGGTGCACTGATCCTCGGGTTTACACTCGTGTCCCAGCTCCTGGGGTTTTCCGCTAAGACCACCCCTGCAGCTCGGAGTAAAGCCCTCACTCGTGGACACCCTTTTTAATTTCTGCAGAGCTCGGTCAGGGTCACAGTGAACCTCCAGAAAACCCAGCTGTGCCCTGCGGGGTCCAGGGGTCACCACCCTGCAGCCCGTGCCGTGCAGGACTCACACCCAGAGGAGACAGGCTGGAGACGTGAGGATCTCTGGTCTCGCAGAGAACAAAGTGTGTGCACAGCGCTCGTATCTGCACATCAACACCCTGAAAGTGGCTCCACGGTGGAAGCAGACGGGAGGAGCAGCTTCCCTGATATCTGACACCAGCAGCGGCTGGCACTCAAACTCAGCCCGAGGAAGAGCAGCGGAGCGGGAGGACGTACCGTGAAGGTGAGCCGGTGAGCGTCGCCGTTATTCCCGCGGAACCAGTCTCTAAATCCCGCTGAAGTAGCTCCGCGGTGCCGCTTTGACTCCAGCCGAAGCCCCGAGCAGCTTTCCGTCTCTTCTCCCGTTTTTCTTCTCCGCTCTGGATGGAAAGCAGCGAGGGCAGAAAAGGGGCGGGGCTTCATCGGCCGGCCAATCGCCCGTCGGGATGACAACAATGCACAGCGCTGAGCCAATCGGGTCAGGCGCCCAGCTTCGAGCCGTTAGCTCATTGGCTGTCTGAGCTGAACGCTCCCCTGGTTGAAAGCAGAGGAGCTCAGTTCACTGAGAGCTGCACAACAAAGCAGAGGAAGATCAGAAAGCTCGGCAAACACTCAGAAAAGATTATAATTAGTGGAATTATGAGCTGTAATCAGGAGGAACACAAACACAGCAGGATGCTGTATCTGAGGGTCGCTACTGATTTTTGTTGATCTCAGTTAATATGTAACTGAGACCAACAGTGTGATCTTATGTAGATTTTATTTAGAGTCAGATGCATTTGTCTTTGCACTAAAACGACTGAAACAATACAAATGCATACTAATATTACTCTTGCTTTTTCTCATCCCTTTTCCAGCATCTACTCGGTCCACTGCGGTCCTGTGGACAGCACCTCCTCCGGCTGAAGCACATCTTCCGTCCAACCTGTCCCGGGTCTGTCTCATGGTCTCATTCTAACTGGACACCAGGAGTCATCACCTGCTGATTCACCTCTACTGCTTCCACTCCATGCAGAGCATCTGAGTGTGTCACATCACCGTATCAGGATATCGTCTCTCTGTGACATGACATAGAGCAAAGAGTAGAAAAAAAACAAACCGTTAGAAGCTGACAGTTATGGTGTGTTTTGGTGCATGTCCACATTATGATCATGAATTATGTGTTCAGCTCTGACTGATCTGATGGTCTGTGTCTCCTCTGCTCTGTGAATTCAGGCACCAGATATAACCATGGAGACGAAGGAGGAGGAGGTGTCACCACAACAGACCTCCTCCTTCAGCTGGGTTTGAAGTCCAGGAGCTAAACACAGACTGTCACTACTGCTGGAATCTAACCTGAAATCACTGCCTGAGTAACTGGCTGTAAACTGTCTGAGGACTCTGAGGGTGAGGATTCAGAGGGCAGGATTTAGTGGTGTCTGCGCGTCCTTTCACATTTTCACTCATTGAGTCTGTTTCACTGACAGAGCCGCAGATAAAGGGCACAAAACAGGAACTTATCTCCTGAAAGCCGCCCTGGACTAAAAGGATGTTTTACTTAATCAGCCTAAATAAGTGTCATGAGACTGTGTGAACTATGAGGAGTAAACAGAGACCGCGGTTTGCGCCCTCTGGTGGCGAGCACATCAACTGTTTCAGAGTCCGCTACGTAAACAGCTGGTTTAACCTTTGGGTGGGGGGGAGGGGGACTAATAGCGCCCCCCAGCATTCCTCCAACTCAGTGAAACAGTGATAAGGTCAATCAGAAACAAACTACACACGTGAAACTTCTTCTGCGCATGCTCAGTCAGGGTTCTCATGCCACTAACTCCTTTTCTCTGAACCAAACTCTCGATGTCCTGAGCTCATTCTGGACTCACTCACTTTAACACAGCAGCTCCTAAATGGGACATTCTTATATATCATCATCGCTATTAGTATTATTAGTATATAATATATAATATTGTATAATATTAATATACATTAATATATATATATATATATATATATATATATATATATATATATTAATATATAATATTGTATAATATTGTATAATATTAATATACATTAATATATATATTGTATAATATTAGTATAATATTGTATATTAATATATATATATATTTATATATTAATATACAATATTATACAATATTATATATATATATATATATATATATATATATATATATATATATATATATATATATATATTAATATATAATATTGTATAATATTGTATAATATTAATATACATTAATATATATATTGTATAATATTAGTATAATATTTTTGTATTGTTGTTGTTGTTATAAATATAAAAATAAGTTAACGTCAGTGAAAAACTCCAACATAAAGATTGTTTTTTTAATAAACAAGAAGAGAGGTCCGTTATGTTATTTGGCTGTACGGATCTTTGTAAAGAAGCTAAGTTTCATCTTCCTCCCTCCCTGAAAAACAAAAATCTCTCGGGGCTTTTTTGCTTTTCGTTTCGACTTTAGATTCATCAAGCTGCTCAGATTAACACCGGAAATAGGAGCGGTGGACGCCACATTCAAATTAGAGAGTTGCCTTTTATGCACATATTTCAAAAACTGTAAAACCACATGAGAACAAGACCCCCAGAAAAAACGTATAGACTGGCAGATGATGACTACTTGGAAATATTGTTATTTATAATTTAAAAATTACAAAATTTGTGATGTTTCTTTCTTAGGGTTTAGTTAGTTTCCTCTGGCGGGACTTAGTTGGTTTTGTTTATTATTTTGGCCTGGGTTCACCCTGGAGCTATGCTTCCCTGAAATCACATTTTTTACTCATAGCTGGTTTCGGGTGTTTGGCTTGGGAACCAGGGCGGGTACTTGCCTCTCTCTCCTCCAACCTTATGTGCGTCTCTACACGCCTAGACTAGGGGCGTAACAGAAAACTTGAGAGATGTGCGCTATCACCAGTCTCACAAGCACAAGGACCCTTAAGTAATTCTAAATCAAGTTTTCCCACTCCACGGTCAGTTACACAGTTTCTGTTATGCCACAGTGACACATCTCAGATCTGATGAAAAAGGACGAGTTTCCCCATAGAGGCAATGGCTTCTTTTTTAAACTTGAGGAGATTTTATTTTGAAAAATAGATCACCGGATGTTGCGCTCGTCGGTTGATGGCAGCTTGACTCCTGCTTTCATCTCCGGTGAGGACACACAGGTAACCGCTCCAGGTGTTTAAGCGACGGCTGCCCCACTGTTAACGCTCCGGCCTAATTCAAACTGATTAGGTGGGGTATGGTTATTAGCTTGAATGCGAAGCTTTGACGAGAACCGGGAAAAAAAAATGGTATTTGGCGAAGTAAAGTTTGTACAGTGCTGTTAGCAGGCAGGGTTAGCTACAGTCTGGCTGCTAGCTCAGGTTAGCCGTGCTAACAGAAGTAAACTAATGTTGGCTTTAATTTCCAAAGGCGCGTTACATTTCCGCGCGGTGTTAGTTTGTCACTTGCGCTCTTTAATCCAAAAGGTGACACCTGACACGTGAGGGATACACTTATTCACAGGAAGACAGAATCAGATGCTAGTTTAGCAGAGCAGCTAGCCTGAGCAGGATGCCGTCCGCGCCGATGGACGTCACACAAGACTCGCCTTAAATTCGGTCCGGGTTACGGTTACCGTGCTGATCCGGACCGACATGCAGCTGATAATAAATCTTTTTAGGTGGTTCTTAATGCCCAAGGGTGCCTCCTTTAATCCGGCTGTAGTGTTATACTTGAATTAACCCGTTAATGTCTTGTTTTCTAGACTTTGGTGAAGTTGGTTAGCTTACAGTGTTTACTGTAAACACGTTAACCGAGCGGAGAGAAACGGGAGCTATCCCCACACACCGGACATCAAACCCGGCAGGTAGGCTGGTGAGGTGATGCTCTGTGGTTCTTTAGCGGGACTCTCAAAGTTTCTTATCGTCGGCTTTAGCAGAACAGCTAACGCTGTAGCTGCCAGTGTTTCAGCTCTAGCTGAGCGGCTGCAGCATGTTTGCGCAGGAAAGTCCGCTCTGATGGTAGGAGAGAGGCTGAAGGTGTCACACACAGGCTCACAGGTTCACCTGCACATTCACGCGGTCAGCTCGCACTCTGTGACTCGGGCAGTCGGAAGCTAATTGCTCATTTCTGCTGTAAAGCAGTTAGCTGGTTAGGCTAGCCTGCTAGCCCGGGGTAAACCTCAGTGAGTTTGCGCCGCTGAAACACGTTATAAAGTCCATTTTAGAGATTTTTAAGCTTCTTAAAGTATTCCACCGAACGTTTTCAGGGCGTCTAAACTATCAGCTGCTACTATTAGTGGAAAGATGCTAACGAACTGGTCTGTTTGTAGGCCTGAGTGTAAGTTTTATTCAGCGCGTGTGTGCACTGAACTCACACTGTTACCATCGTGCGTACAGGGTCAGCCTGCTGCTGCTGCACACGCGTGTTTCACTGTGAACACAGTCCTGCTGTCTTTGTGGAGAAGCACGAGCTCCTCATCCTCTTCATCCCGTTCAAGCCATCAGGCTGCGGCCGAGCTGAAAGTCTGAGCTTATTTCACGCAGTTAGGGTTTATTCCACGAGAAAGACTTATTGTAAAGTTGTATTGTTGACATTGACAGCAGCTGTGGCTGGTCTCTGTTATAACAACACTTTGAATGAGGAGAAGGATTTAGGACAGAGCACCAACAGAGGTCCATAAACACCTGGAACACTAGTTGATGCTTAAACAGTGTGTGGTAAGTGATGTGCATTTACCCGCGTGGAACAACAGCAGTGGGTTTAATCACACAGTCGGAGAGGATCAACCCTGTCTGAGAATAAATCACAACCTGCTGTTGTACACCTGAGGCAGGTGAAGAGGGGTTTGAGGTCACTGTCAGTCGTTGTCAGCAGGAAGGCGACGCTCACCGCCCAGAGTTTTTCACAATATTTGGAGTGATGTCGACGTGGATTTAGTGTTTATTCTTCGTCAGTGTGAAATCTTTCTCACCTGTTTGATATTGTGAATAAGATGAAACTATATTTCCTAATCTGAAGCAGACCTGAATGGAAATACATGTCAGACTTGGCCAGAATTAGAGACATGAGAACAACTCCACTGTGTCCACCCACCACTCTGACCTCTTCAGTAAACCCAACTGCAGATTTGAGGGTCAGATAATTGATTTTATTTCTCCGTGCTTTGACTTCCATCATGTGGTAATCTCGTGTTTGCTCTGACCTTCAGCTCGTGACCGACGCTGATGGAGACTTCGGGAGTTTGCGAGCTCGATGTGGGGACGAGACGAATCGTAGGTGGCAACGATTCCCCGCCCGACCTGGACAGCCCGTCTCAGGTGAGTGTGGACGGCTCGTCGTTTGTGCTGCTGCTTGTTCATGTCTGTTCAGTGACCTGTGGGAGGTTTCTGTGTTTCCCTCAGAGTTGGGCTGTCAGATAAATAATCCCACGTGTTCTTGGTGACAGTATAATCAGCTGATTCTACACTCAGCGGACGAAATTCATCTCCTCCGCGTTGTCCTGCAGCTGGTAGTCCTTGTTCTCCACCTGCTGCAGATTCTGAGTTCAGACCAGAACAAAGATTACCACCAGCTGCAGTCCAGCACAGAGGGGCGGAGTCTGCACAGAGCGAGATCTGTGAGAGAACTTGTTTAAAGGATAACTGTCTAATAGATGGATGTGACTTTTGTTAGGAGGAGGTGTCTGAGTTTGGTTTGGGGCTCTCCTGCACCAATGAGGAGAGGGGGGAGACTCCAGGCCGAGAGGACAGTCCCAGCGACCTGGTGGAGGCGGAGCTCGATGCCGGCGGAGATGCGAAGAACAGAGAGGACAAAGCTTTTGGTATGAGCAGAACTGTAGAAGCACTGAACAGCCGGGATGCGTCTCTCACCTCAGGAATCACATTTAAATATTTACATACAAAATTTAAAACTGAATAAAACCAACACGGAGCGTGTGAAGCTTCACGTGTCTGACAGCACTCACACAGATACTGTGACACATATTTAGACTTGAATCAGAATCATTCAGCTGTGATTAGACTGCTCTTTGTTTAGACCAGAGAAGTGGAAGTTTTACCAAACAGGACATTTTTGTGTTAAAGCTTTTCTATTCTTGTGTCACCCGATGTCAGTTTCTTCCTCGTTGGTCCGGTTTGTTCAGTTTTGATCTTCCGTGTGGTTTCAGGGAAGGAGGTGGTTCTTCTGATGCAGGCGCTGAACGCTCTCGCCACTCCCGAGGAGAAGCTGGCCGCTCTGTGCAAGAAATACGCCGACCTGGTGAGCCGCAAATCCGACACACCGACACTGAGCAGATACTCCCGACACCTGGGAGCAGGTGACAGGAAGCACTCTGTCACCATGTGGTGTTGGTCTGGGTTTCTCAGTGTGATCTGGAGCACGTGCTCAGTCGCTCCGTTTCAGAGACATCACAGGCAGCAGATTGATTCAGATTTAGCGACACGGTGAACACGCTCTCAGCTCCTCCGTGAGTCGTGGTCGCGGCCGATCATTTCCCGCTCTGACAGCAGCGATCGTGGTAGTTTGGTTGGATTTCTGCAGAGCTCTGTGGGTGGATCAGTGGACACCCACAGAATAATAATCAGCAGAAGCTCAGTGTGAACAACAGTAATGTTTGAAAATAATCACAAAGCTTCAGTTTGTATTTTTGGAGCCACAGAAGTAAATGAATCCAACAAGCTGGGCATCTGGAAAAAGTATGGAGATGTTTCACGCTTCAGATTACACGTCACCATCTCACACAAAGGTGACCTTAGACCTCAGGAAGCTCTCACAGACTTGGACATAAAGAAGAAGAAAGTACGAGGAGGTTGTCAGATTCTGGCATGAAGCCTGGTTTGACTGACTCGGATACGACTGGTGACACTTGAACGGCTTAGAGATGTCCCCTTTCAGATCAGGCTTCTTGGTGCTACATGTTTCTTCTAAGCCTCCACACACACCACGCTGCCGTCAGCTTCCTGTTTGTTTCCATAAACATAAAAATGACCCAGTTTGTTCTGTTGTTGCTGTCTTTCAGCTGGAGGAGAGCCGCTGCATGCAGAAGCAGCTGAAGGCCCTGCAGAAGAAGCAGTCTCAAATCGTGAAGGAGAAGGTGCACCTGCAGGGGGAGCACAGCAAGGCCATCCTGGCCCGCAGCAAGCTGGAGAGTCTCTGCCGGGAGCTGCAGAGACACAACAAGACCCTGAAGGTAGTTCAGCCGCCACAAACACCTGATGAGGACCATTTTACATTTGTGCAGGTGTCACTCCTCCCCTCAACCCCGCAGGAGGAGAACGCCCAGCGGTCCAGGGAGTACGACGAGCAGCGGAAGGAGGCCATGCTGCACTTCCAGATGACCCTGAGCGACATCGAGGTGCAGATGGAGCAGCACAGCGCCCACAACACCAAGCTGAGGCAGGAGAACATGGAGCTGGCCGAGAAGCTCAAGAAGCTCATCGAGCAGTACGAGCTCCGAGAGGAGGTGAGTTTAGGTCCCGCCTGCCGTCCAATCAGAACAGTCTGTTTCTGCTCATGAAGTCAGCGCTGGTTGTTATGAAGAGGATTAATGCTGCCATTAAAAAGGCAGAAATGCATTCTGGGTGTCACAACAGACTCGGCCTGGTTGTGACACTCTGTCTGCACACTGACGTCTGCAGCAGGTGATCCTGGTTCTGCTCATGCTGCAGGTTCTGGTTGGAGTAACCCTCCAGGACCCTCATCGCCAGCTCCAGACTCTGGCCACAACACACATGGTCAAATAAATTGATTGTGGAAGATGTTTTAAACTTAAAAACAAGGCAGTCGCTTCATCTCCCAAAGATGGAAAATACGTTGCCTCCACGAAGGTCCTTTAAGACGTCTTAGATACACATTTAAAGGTCTTACAGACAATTACGGTCTTAAATCTACTCTTCAGTCATGTCGCAGTGAGACAACACTGAAGGTTTCATCGCCTCGGCACATTCGGGTCACTCGCTGTGACAGTGTCCTGCACACCGAGGAGAAACATAACCAGGACCTGAGAAGCTTGGCTGGGATTAGAGCAGCAAGAAAAACGTTGCTTTTGTAGTAATCTTTACAGTCACTCAGCTCCTGCTGCAAACGAGATTTCTGTTGTTTCTCTGCAGCACATCGACAAAGTGTTCAAGCACAAGGAGCTGCAGCAGCAGCTGATGGACGCCAAGCTGCAGAGAATCACCGAGATGATGAAGGAAGTGGAGGAGAAGCAGCAGCGTGAGAGAGACTTTGTGAGGATCTCAGTTTGTTCTGGTTTTTATCGCAGCTGTAAATGAGCTCAAGTGTCTGAGAGACTGTGTCTGTGCCGCTGCAGCTGCTGAAGGACGCCACCGAGTCCAGACGCAAGTGTGAGCTGATGAAGGAGCAGGAAACCCAGCTGAAGCAGCAGGTACGCGCGCACACACGCACACACACACACACACACACAGGTCAGCTGGATCGTCTCCATTACTCACTGCTCTCGTCTCTCAGCTCTCTCTGTACATGGACAAGTTCGAGGAGTTCCAGAGCACCCTGGCTAAAAGCAACGAGGTCTTCACCACCTTCAGACAAGAGATGGAGAAGGTGAGTCACCTGCGTGTCAGCGTGCGGTTACCTGCTCACCTGTCTGTGTTTCTAAACTCTGTGTGCCTGCAGATGACCAAGAAGATCAAGAAGCTGGAGAAGGAAACGACCCAGTGGAGGACCAAATGGGAGAGTAATAACCAGGCGCTGCTGCAGATGGCAGAGGAGGTGATTCTTCTTCGTGGGCTCTGTTTTGTTTTCCTCGAAACGTTTAAAGTGACCGATGTCGATCTAAAATGAAGATGGAGGCACGTTTTTGGCCTCAGATGTTTCAGACACACACTTTAGAAGTGCCGGAGCAGACGTAGGAGAGCCAGACTGATTAGTGTCTCGCAGATCAAGTGTTCAGCACCATCACAGCCTTTAAAACATAAAGGTCCAACGCTCGAGTGCACTCGTCTGAACTCGGGAGCTGAAAGAAGCAGCCACGCTGAAGTGCCAAAAGCTGCAGTTCCTCTGATGTCCAGCAGAGGCAGCAGTGAGTCAGTCCCCATAGACTCCCATGTTAGAACTTTCCAGCAGAAATAAGCACGTTTACAGCCTGAGACACAAACTGTTTGGTCTCTGTGGATCATTTCCTCCTTTATTACACCTGTACGGTGGAGGACGTTCCTAAAACACGCCTGGATTAAAGTTTGTTTTATTAGGGGCGTGGCCTTCTTTTTTTTACTTGAAGTCAGTTGTTGATCCCACACACACTCTGCTAACTGTTTGGCTACTCGTAGTGAATTATATTGGCTCTCTTGTTTAGGGGAGCTTTCTGTAATTGGACATCCTTTAGTTGAACACCCTGATTCTGACCAGGCTCTGATCTCTGGCCTCTGAAAACCAGCATGATGGTGGTCAGAATGCCAGTGTCGAGACCCGACGCGGTGATGTCACAGGAGCTTCATCCATCTGATTCTTCCTCCTACATGAAACTGGACCTGACTGAATGTTGTTGTTTTGCAGAAAACGCTGCGTGACGGTCACTTCAAGGCTCTGCAGGGGAAGCTGGAGCTGCTGGAGAGGCTGTGCAGAGCTCTGCAGAAGGAGAGGAACGACCTGAATAACCGACTCAGCCTCCTCCAGGAGCAGGGAGACAAAGGGAGCGCCACATCTCCTCAGGCCAAGCCGCGAGAGCCTTCGGCCGAGGATGGAGAGGATTCGGAGGATTCGGCGCAGGGTGACGGGCTGGAGACGGCGGCCGTTCAGGAAGCTCTCAGACCACCTGAAACAGACCCGATGGCGTCTCCTGGTGACAGCGAGCCTGCAGAGACGGCGAGCACGCCGCAGGACTGAGCTCACCTCGCAGCCTGCGTGGAGGTGAGGGGGCGTGGTGGGAGGGGCTTCACGCAGCTCCAGCCTAGTTCCACAACTAGCCAGAAAACCATCTTCAGTGGAGATGGAGCTCTTTTTTTTTTTTTAACATAGACCTCCTCAGATTTCTACACAGAAGCTGAAGCCGTGTCTCTTTGTGTGATAAATGATTGTATCAGATTCTCTAAATCGTGGCCCACGGTAACGATCGGCACTTCTTCATACTCCCCGTTTCTACTCGATCTTTATTTTCATAGGGAACCTCCAGGCGGGCCTTCGATTTCTCTCCTCACACGCCTGAGTATGACTTTGATTTGAGTCGGACACGCTGTCGAGTGTCTGAGGAAACGGGACTGGGGTCAGAGGTCATCTGACCGACCACAGGGGCGGGAAATGGCAGAACCTCGCAGTGTAGTTGGTTCTAAGTGTTTCCAGCAGATTGAGTCTGTCTGCTGCAGCTGCGATTTCAGTCAGTCTTAAATTTTATTAATGATGAATGTGTCTGTGGATGTCTCCTCCACCATGATGCAGCTCCACCTGCTGCACGTTCAGGTGAGAGGAAACTTTCAGAGGACAGTCAGCGACACTGATCCACGGTGCAGCTCTGATCACGTTTAAACGAATGTTTAGAAAAATAATCAAAATGATTCAATTTGAACTTTATTGAAATGTAGGAGCTTCGGTCTGATCACACAAATGTTTTTTGGTTTTCATTAACAAAACTGGTGATAACAGGAAGTGACTGTAGTTTAACGTCACGTCGTTAATGTCACGCGGCTGCCATCGGGACGCAGCGGGATCGCTTTTGAACCTGCTGATAGGCACCGAGTCGGCATGACGACAGCCTCTGTCAAGTGTTTAAAAAAACAAATACAAACCATGAGTTTTGGGCGTTGTTTGCTGCCCCCCTGTGGTCAACCAGTGTCATTTCTTCTCCTTTGAAGCCGTTCAACACGTTTCTGGGGATCATGCATGTGTTTTGTGTTGAGGAGCGTGCACGTGTGAGGAAGAGTCGAAGGCCTTCGTCCTCTGAAAAGTGATTTCATGTAAATTATGTTTGGAAATGATGATGGGCTCTGTGATCTTTATACTGGAAGAAAAGCTGAATGTGATTTTTCTTTTTTTAATGAATCTGAATAAAAAAAGAAATGTTGGTTTCTGTCAGTGATGCATATTATTAGGAACACCTGGGTCTGAGCAGGGGTCAAATCCCGCTCCGGGTCATTCTGTGGAGATTAAGTCATCAAGCAAGAAATTGTCTCAAACATTCATCTCTCTTCACCTTTTCATCATTTATCAGTTTTCTTTGACCAGGTCGTTAAAGTGGATCTATTTTGTTTCTATTCTTGGACTGTACCAGACCAGCTTTGCATGATTCAAAATAATCCTTCTGTATATCATACCTGGCCTCACTGCTGCTGAAATAGGCTGGTTTAGCTCCTCCCACTTTAAGACAGCATTCTGATTGGCTGCTTCTTGAAAAACAGGGCACCACCTCTCTGTGACATCATCCAGATTCAAGAGTAGAAAAAACTGAGACTGTTTAGAGCAGCTGAGCTTTAACATGAAGGACACAACGCAGGAACAGGAAATACACGACAGGAAGTGAGCAGAAGCAGGTCCACTTTAACTCGGGGTCACCCTCGATGGTCCCGCCGACGTGTCGACCGTGTTTCAGAGAGTCTCCGGCGTCGGATGAGGCTCTCGGCTTTTTGATGTGCCGTCGTTTAAAAAACGCTCCAGCTGCTTTCTGCGCTGTTCTCCTGCTGCACATCTGTAATTCAAACCACACAGCAGCGCCCGAATGACTGAGGCAGTTTGATCCGTTTTCATCTTTTTCCTGTCAGGTGATGGCGTCTGTCTCCGCCCACCACAAAACCTCAGCACGACCTTTTATCGAGAACGTTAAACTTTATTGAAACAGCTGCGAGAACAGCAACGCTGAAAGTTTGAAGGAGCGTTTGGACCCGTCAGATTCACCGGTTCTGTTTTTATTGAACTTGTTCCCCCCCACACACACATAATGAAGGGGCCAGATAAAGTCACATGATCAGTGTTTGGACCTGTCAGGTAACGGATTGTGTTCGACATGATTTCACCTGTGACCTCTTTAAAAGACTGTACATGGAAGATGGAGGTGGTGACGCTGGGGACCAAGGTTGCGGCACGTTTCTTCTTTCTGACTCTCAGGTAATGTCAGAATCTACCTCTGCAGGTGAGACTGAACAAAGAGGCGTCACAGCTTTGGAGAGCTTCTTGTTTGACTAACGACCCCTCATTACCGTGTTCCTACAGTCTGTCTCGCTTTTCAATAAACGTTTTGTAGAATTTGCAGCGCTGCTGGTTTCTGTTCTTTGATTCCTGTTTGTTCCTCATGTTGATCAGGTCGTTGTTTTCATAACGGCACAAATGATACAGGAGCTGATGGTTTGGCTAGAGGCCGGATCTTAAAGAATTGCTGAGACGCATTTTTGGAAAAGTTACAAAAGCTTTATTGCGATCAGAGGTGCAGGAACCAAAAACTAAAGTTTCACATCATGTAACAGAACAAAGGTCTGTTTCCCTCGGGTGTAGGAATTTAGCCAAATGCAGGGGTGAGGAAGTACCGAAGGAGCGGGAATGTTTGTTTGGAGGACGCGTCGTCAACTCGGGAACATCTAACAGGAGCTGCAGGTGGAGGAACGGAGCAAGCTATGCTGTAACGCTGCGTTTCCTTCCGTCAGCCCTTTTAAAATGAATTCACAGCGACAGCGTGCACACAGAGCCAATCCATCGAGCTCTGCCCACCCGAGAGGGACTTCAGTTCTTTTCCAGGTACGTCGGTGCTTTTGGGTACCGGGCAGTGGTGAAGCGAAGCAAGACGGCGCCGGAGTGCGAGACGCCTCCAACGCGCCGCGCTGCTCTTTTCGCACTGAGATGAATCAGAGGGAGGGAGAGGACGGGTGGGGGTCAGGGGTGGAGCCTGTGCGGGGTTATGATCCCTGAGCCTCCAGCTCTGACGCAGGTGTGTTGTCGGGCTCCTCGTCATTGTAGATGTTCTCTGCCTGCAAGAAAGGAAGGAACCGTTAGAAGCAGCGCTGCAGTTCCTACCTCAACACGGGCGGCGTGAGAGATCGGCAGGAATCTGATGAACATCAGACGAACAGTCCTCTTTTCCCCCCGATGTTAAAAACATTGCACTCTGACATTGTTGAAACTGGCCTGACACAATGATGGACCTTCTTCTACCTTCATAATTCATATTTACATGCATATTAACATTTTGAGGCTCTCGCTGCAATCCAGCGGTTTCTCCAACTGTCCACAGCTGTGCAAACGCTCTCGGGTTTGAAGGGTTGTTTCTCCAGACTGGATATTTCAGCTCCACAGGTAAAGGTGGGATTTGTGCTGCTCATGCACCAACCAGAGCATCCTGACGGGTAATATCTGCACCTCATACGTGAACAGCACCAAGCAGGACAGACGAGCTCGCCGAAGAGTGGTGCGCTCTGCCGAACGCATCATTGGCTCAGAGCTCCCTCGCCTGCAGTCTATAGACTCTGTGCGCCTTAGCATTTGCTACTATTCACTCCTTGTTCAACAAAGTAGCCAACTTTATTTTTTACAATTATTACAGATGTTTTAAGGCTGTAAAAACCCCTCACTGTACACTTTGTACACGTTTCTCAGGAAGGCATGAACATTTTCACTTTTCTCTCTTCTTTAAACTCTCAAAGTTCAAACCTTTGTAGAAAAATAAGTCCAGTATTATAGAATGAAACCACAGATCAAACCCTGTTTTCAGGTCCAGAACACGGAGTAGAGCCGCTGCCAGAGAATTCAACATTTATGAATCAGAAGTCCAACTAGGGATGGGTACCGGTATCCGGTCCCATGATGTCACCGGTTCTGACATAAACGGTAGTAACCAGACCGAAAAGCAGCGCACATTTCGGTGCTTTATTTCGGTGCTTTTTTTTCCTGAGCTGTGATACACTTCTAGCCAATCATTTTACGTTTCCGATGATAGTAGGCGGGCCCAGGTACGTACGTTCTTTTAGAGCAGAGCTACAGATTAAAAATGCCCAAGGCGAAGCAGTCAAAGTCTGGCTGTACTTCACAGCAAAAGATGCAAACTCATCAGCAACAAGAGCTTTAAGCTGATACTGTGATACTGTCAAAGGAGGTAACACCTCAAATCCGATGAAACACCTGGCGACGCATAGCATTTTTTTTTAAAAGCCCAGAAATGCGCCGTATTTGATAGCTTACTGCGAGACCTCACACCGAGCACGTCTACTGCGGGTGGGTTGCCTGTTATGCAACATCCCCCAAAAACACGAAGAGGAGAGTCCTGGCCCCTAACCCTGCCAGTGTAGCAGAAATGATGAGGATGATGATGCAGCCGTTCTTCTCTGCGTGAGTAGCTTAATGTTGTTCGTGTGTAATTTACGTTGAGTAGGCTAACCACGTTATTACATTAATGCATGTAAGGTGAACTAGCAAACACAGACGTAGTTACATGCGGCTGTCCTCTTGTTTGATGGCAGATACTAACTTCACCCTGGCCAAAAAGGCTAAAATGACCAAACAAAAAGTGGGAAACAGTTAAACATGAGAGGTTTAGGACAAAGTTTGTGTTTTTTCCATTGTTTAAGCACTGCTTCCAGCCAAGAGTGATACCATATATGCCCCATAGCTGCAGAAAAGGCTAACATTGTTATCTTTTTACAAAAAAACAGCTGAACATGAGAGGTTTTTGGACCAATTTTGTGTTCTCCATTCTTTAAGCACCGGCACCGTTTCAAAAGTACCGATTTGGCACCGGTATCGGATAAAACCTAAACGATACCCATCCCTAAGTCCAACTTTTTGTGTGATGGTTAGTGTCTTTAGAGTCACACTGTACTGTATAGGAGAGATGGCACGGAGGAGATTGACAATGCGCTGTATACAAAAAAAGGCAATGAAAAAAGAAATGAGTGAAACAGCACAGCTGCGTTATAGTGAGGGACCGCTGTAATTTTGAAGGTACGTCACAACATACCCTTTGTAAATACTAATGCATAGAAACCCTGATCAGCAACCATTCATTTATTTTTTTCTGTGGTTTTTTTTCACGGTTTGTTGACATGCTGTGTAGGTGTGGACTGATATCGACACAACGGGGGAAACATCTGGCTTTCACTGTTGTTCGCCTGTAGATTGAACATTTGCCTGTTTAAATCATAAGAACTGTCACTATGCAGAGATGTGCTTCTGCTGCAGTGATGCAGTTCTGCTTGTGTTGAGTGACGTAAACAACCAACCGATCTAAACTCTTCAAACGTCAAAACTGATCATTTGATTTTTTATGACACAGTAATGGTGAGCGCTCCCATCTTCTGCTCTTTGTAACTTAACGCGATCTTTGTGTTTTTGTGTTTTGGACATGGTTTGGGAGTCCATCTTCGCAGTAGCAATTGACCGCAAAATAAAGTTACTGGAAATGCACAACTTTACATCCGGTCTTAAAACAGGAAGTTAGTATTTTCTTGTGCACAGGGTCTATTTACACCAAGTGGTGCAGCACCAAAGCCGGGAAGATGCTGAAAGACGCCTCCCACCCCACCAATGAACTCTCAATGTTGAGGTCAGAGAAGCGCTTCCGCTCCAATAAGGCCAACACAGAGAGAAAGAGGAGGAGCTTCCTCCAGGCTACTCGGGCAATGAACCAGGTGTAGGACTGGAGACTCTGCATATCTCATATCACCGTCTGCTGATTTGCACCTTTTTATTTTGGATTTTTAACTTTCATTTTATACTTGATTTGTAATTTTAGTTTTATTCATGTATCTGGTCTGTCGTACTGTATGCGACAAATACAATCTGAATTTGGATCAGGGCTCGTACGGCCGCCTTAGAGCGGTCCACTGCTGTGTTGTTAGCCATTCCTGTGTCTTTGTCCTGTTGGAGGACCCACAAGCTGCGACCGAGGCAAAGCTTTGTGACGCTGCACAGCTCAGCCCAGAATGCACAGTAGCTACAGCGCTGTGACCACGGAGCTGATGAGCCGATCGAGGCCTTGAACTAGGGCTGGGCGATATATCAAAAATTTATCGTTACCGAAATTTATGACTCTCATCGACGTCATTTTGCCCATGTCGGTAAATTCGGTATTTAAAAAAAAAAAGAAAAGGCATGTG